ATGTACCTCAAAGTCTGAAGTCCCTATTTTTGGAGGTCCCACATACCACCTAAGAACATGGTGATGGATCATTAAACAGATTCAAATTTGAAACAAAACAATACATGAATACTTGCTAGTTATAAAAACTGTAAAACTAAAAAAAATTATGTAGAATTAGAAGTTTTCTTTTTACTCACCCCTTACCAATACTAATCTCTTCCCAACACAACCAGTTACCACTTTAGTAACTTCCTAAAAACTTCCTATGATAGGCATATATATGTAATAAACACAGAGTTTTGATCTTTACACATATATATTTACCATTCTGTGACTTGGTTTTTAAACATTTTGGATATATATTACATATAGGTGCACCTCACTTTTTACAGCTGTATAGTATTCTATACTATTAACAAATTAAGCCAGTCTCCATTTAATGAACAAATAGGTTATTTCCAAAATTAAATAAAGCCAGTCTCCATTTAATGAACAAATAGGTTATTTCCAAAATTAAATAAAGCCACAAAGCTATAGTGTGGAATCTTGTATTTTGTGTACTTGTACAAAACATATAAGCTAGGTTTTTAGAAATGAAAGTGTTTGGCCAAAGGCTATCTGAATTAAAGTTTTGATAGGTTTTGATTTGCATTTCTGATGCCCAAAGGAAAATTAATCATTCTACAAAAAAGACACATATACACATATATTCATCAATGTGCTATTCACAATAGTAAAGACCTGGTATCAATCCAGGTGGCCATCAATGGTAGATTGGATAAAGAAAATGTGGTATTTACACACCATGCAATGCTATGCAGCCATAAAACAATGAGATCATGGCCTTTGCAGCAATGTGGATGGAGATGGAGGCCATAATCCTAAACAACCTACACAGGAACAGAAAACCCAAATACAGCATGTTCTCACTTGTAAGTGGAAGCTAAACACTGAGCATGTGTAGACATAAACATGGTAATAATAGACAATGCAGACTACTAGAGGAGGGACGGAGAGAGGGAGGGAGGGAGGGAGGGGGACATCTGTTGTAAAACTACTTATTGGGTACTATGTTTTCTGGGTGATGGGATTCATATCCCAAACCTCAGCATAATGTAATATTTCCATGTAATACTCTTTCATATGTACTGCCTGAATCTAAAAGTGGCAACTAAAAAATTTGTAAATATTAAAAATGTCATTTTAATAATTTGCAAAAAAGAGTTTTAACAGGTTCTGCCAAATTGCCCTTTGAATAGGCTGTAACCTGTTTATGTACTTTCTTACTCCCAATGTAATGAGTGTCTTTTCCCCTATATCCTTACCACTCTGGCTAATAGTATTTGGGATTCTGCCAATTTGAAAAGCAAAATACATCTCCTGGGTTTGTGTGCATTTCCTTGATTGTTATGAGACTGGATCTTATTATATAGCTTTAAAATGCTAATTTCCAGAAATTTTAGGATAGTATTGGCATATTAAAATACAATTTTAACACAACTTTGGGCAAAATTATTTTACTTTTAAAAATAAGAGAAAAAATGCTATGTTAATAGTACATACAGAGCAGTAGTTTCTAACGTATTTTAGAAATGGAAACAGAAAACTAAGTGCTAGTATTTCATCTTTTCAAGCTTTACAGAAAATACTCTGCTGAGTTGGTACATTCATGTTATTTTTTTCCCCCACACATAAAAATCCTGAATAGGACAATTCACTGAGGCATCTAGATCAGATACAGTGTCCACCACTAAACAATGTTTCTTTTAGGGGTCAATTGTTTCCTTGGCAGGAGGAAGATTTACACCTGCAAGTCCTATTAACATTAATAGGAGTTATCAGCATAAATTCCCCCTGCAATGATAGACAAAAAGACCCTACAGTTTACCAGGATCCAAGTTCTAATGATTACCTGTCATACTGTTCTCGGAATCATCATCACTAGAAAAAGCAGGCATGGCAACTTGTACCACAAAGGTATCTCATTGCAGCCTCAAAGCTAAACTGTGCATCAATGGAAAAAAAAGTGGCCTTCAAAATGTGAGTTGGGATTCTAAGTGTTAAACCACTTAACCAGTATTTTTTAAAAGCCATCATTAAAGAGAATTCAAACATTTGGAACCATTTTTTTTTTTAAGTGTGAATGAGTTTCAAGGTGCTTGAAGGATAATACAGCTACTTATTTAAAAATTCAATTAATCTTATCTTTCTTAAAATTGATTAATTAATAATCTCACAGATAAACTGCCAGTTTCGAGAGTCCTGTTCTCTTTTTAATGTCTCCTTACTGAGGAAATTTAGACACTACTTGAAATTGACAGAAAATGTCAGCCTGCTTTAATTATTTGACTCAATAGCAAATCATGATTTAATGAATAATTTCTGCATAAAAAGAACATCAGGAATCTCTTATCTATTGCAAATGAGTTGTTGGGGCCTCAAACACCTCAAAGAAAAACATTCAGGTTCTCATTTGCCAAACAGATATGAAAAACATTTCAGATTCTCATCATGTAAGTGAGATGTGAAAACAGTCTGTAGGCAATCAATGTTATTACAAATTCATAGCCCATGCTGCACAGCTTCCACAGCACTGATTCCAAACAGAAAAAGGTCTCATCCACCTTTGTTTGATATTGGCATTAATGTTGGCATCTAGAACAGTTTGCAAAGTAACTCATGCCCCTATATTACTTCACTGCCTTTCTCACAAACTTAACACAGTTGGCAGATGTCAAAAAGCAAAACCGAATATACAGCTTGACAATTAACTATTTAATAGACTAATATTACAACATAAATCAGGTTCAAATCAATCTTCAAATTCTTGGCAAATATAAAAGACGTAAGTACTACAAAATATGATACCATGCCTGAAAAGGATTGAAAAGTCTTTATTTCCTCTGAAAACTTACTGTTACAGTGTATAATTTATGAATATTCATGTATTCATGCTTTTTGAAATACAATAAAATTAGCTGAGTAAAAGACAAATTATTCCAATGTCGATAGCAGTAAATAACTTATTTGCAAGAAAATTATTACAATTCCTATGTAAAGAATCACCAACCACTATTTAGCAATTAAATTTCAACAAATTTTTTTTTGGAACTCTTTAGGACTTTAGACAAAGGCTACCAAGGCTGCCAATCCAGGTAACTATGGCAGTGACAGAAGTCAATCATTAATACTGCCATTACTTTAGACAAAGGGCTGACAATCCCAGACACTAGTTCTAGAAATTACCATCAATATGGCCATTTTAGTATGGACAAATAAATATTATGGGAGATAGGGAAATTGTTACTCCATTTTCCTGTAGAAAAATATATAAATTGACCTTTTCTATATACACATGTATGTATACACATACAGTATATGTTTTTCTGGGCAGGTACACCAACTAGTAAAAAATACAATAGCAACATAGGATAAGGTATTGGTTCTCATACTGATCACTAAACTGAATGATATTATCATTTTTGGTTAATAAGAGGCATGCATAAACATTTTAAATACATGAATCAAAATTCTTTGATAACATTTTTGAAAACATAAATTAGCTACTGAAAATTTTCCACTATGTACAACATATTAATTTTATTAATATGACTTCAAGCTTAAGGTTTTATAACAAAACCAAAAGATTTTTCTTTTTGACTTAAAACTCTTAAGAAATATTTATTTGCAGTAATTAGGATAACTAAAAAGAAAGCTCTAAGAATAATTTCTATTACATTTTGAGGCAACAGGAAGTATCTAAGGTTCTCAAAGTCTTTTAGCAGTTGTATAATACATGAATCGTGTTCAGCAACTTTTAAACATTTCAGTAATATTTAATAAATGACCTGAAAAAGAAATGTTGAGGCTGGCTAATGAATGAAACCGGGTACAATAATGGACCACAAACGATCTCCTTTATTGTTCTACAGATAGGCAGCTGCAGTAAGGCCATCAGAATTTTTGTGGTTATTCTAGGCCTATCCTGATTGTCTGTTTACATGAATGTGCATGCTGCATTCAAGCGGCCTTAACTCTAAGACCATAAGAGTGCAATAACTTTATTGGTAGAATTTACTGCAATTGTATTCAGACTCAATTGTCTCATCTAGTAGAACCTTTTATAATGTATTGCTGATATCCAGAGGCAAGGCCAATACCTGGTACATTAATAGGTATGTATTAGACATTAAGTGCATATGCCCCAGCTGGGTTTCAGGAAACATGATTTGATATTAAAAAAATCTGAATCCCTGTGACGAAGTAGGTTATAAAGTGATCCTACTGTCCTGATTTATGTGACATTATAAAACGGGAAGTAAAGGAAAGGGGTCTAAAGAGATGGGGAGGAGCTGTACACTGGGAGGTAGGAACAGGAGCAGCCTGAGAGGCCAGTAAGTTTAGTTCTTCCATTATTCTGGCTTCCACTATGTCTGCAGGGGGTAGAAAGGAGAGGCATGAGCTACGTTCCTTGGTTCTTTCATTTCCCATGAATCTGTGACATGCTATAGCTAGCTTCCTTTAAGCACATTTCTGAAACCTGGGGAGATCAGGGACCAGCTGCAGTTGAAGTATGTAAGAACTATGTGCTTTACAATGGAGCCATGGCTTACTGATAGATAATATGGGCCGTATCTTGTGAAGAAAAAATTTAGAGTTCATTTATTTATTTACAGGCAATTATAAGACTAAACTATTGCTCAGATAAAGTAGACCATCAGAGCTTGGCCATTTGAGAAAACTCAAATATAGGCAACGTCACTGTAGCTTAGCTAGGTTTGCTGCCTAGGTACAGACCTACCTTTTTTTTCTTTTCTTTTCTTTTTTTTTTTTTTTTGAGACAGTCTAACTCTGTTGCCCAGGCTGGAGTACAGCGGCACAATCCCGGCTTACTGCAACCTCTGCCTCCCAAATAGCTGGGATTATAGATGCCTGCCATCACACCCAGCTAAAATTTTATATTTTTAGTAGAGGTAGGGTTTTGCCATGTTGGACAGGCTGGTCTCGAACTCCTGACCTCAAGTGATCTAACCACCTCAGCTTCCCAAAGTGCTGGGATTACTGGCAGCCCTAACATTTTTATGTAGCATGTATATTAGGGCTTACCAACTGTCATACTCAATTTGAAGTCCTTGGTGGTTGCAGGTTTACCTACCAGATAAGGAATAGGAACAATTTATAGAGTGTTTTCCTTAGTCACATTTCAAAACCACAATTCTACTTGCTACTATTTTTACTCCTCTGTAAAACTATAAAATACTAATTTAAAAAAGAAATTTTCATTTAAAAAGCTTAATGCAATAAAAATGCTGTGATCTATTTTGTTTGAAGCTGACAGCAGGCAATTATTTCCTGCGTGAGACTTTTGATAATCATCAAGTCAGTGGGAAAATTCTAAAACAATTTTCTTCCAGTGATGCCATACTAAAGATGGCACTGCATTTGTCTTCATAACCATTGTCATATCATACAGTAGGCACGGTACTACTATATATGGAGAAACATACGCTAAGAAGTTAAAACAATTTACCAAATATCATCAGCAGGACAGCCAGGATTAAATTAGGTCTGTAGACAATTAGCCTAGTACTCTAGTTACCTGACAGACAGAACATCCAAATACTCATTGCTATTATGAGTCTATCCATGCCTTTCCTTCCATTCTTTCATTTTTTTATTACTGACCCTTCCCAATATGTAAATAATTTACAAACGAATATCACTGATACTAAAAAAAAACTACTGACTCGTTCATAAACATGTGTAAACACCTTAATATTAGCATTTTCAATGCTTCTCAACATAGAAAGCAAAGCAAAACAAAACAAACACATATTCCAAATACAGGCTTCTATCTAGATTATGATACCTTAGTTTTTCTGTATATGTTTTTATCCTTATGTTATAATGCTGTTATTAATAAACTAATTCAAATAATCAAAGAAAATACATGAGCCGGTTCTGAAAATGTGGCTTTCCAATGAAGACCCAAAGTGGCAAACAAAGTTGTCCTAAAACCACTTAATTATTAACAATGCATAGGATCAATTTCATATCCATAGTCACATTCCTGAGAATCAAATGATTTATAATTTTCATCTGCTAGTTACTCAAGTCTGGTATTTAAAATGAGCAAGTCAATGTGCTTTATAAGTGTTGTGTGTTCTTGGAATGTCCTCTATAAGGAAAATCCCCTTTCGGATTTCTATTACCTATTTTGCCTTATAACTGCTGCTGCTTTTTAACATTTTTCAAACAGTCCTTCTATCAAGCAGGCTCTGAGACCAGTAGAAATTTCCAAAGTGGGGTATTCAGTTTAGTGTGTATCCATTATTCAGAGGGCTCCTCTGGGTTTCCAAGGTTTCCAAGGTTTCTGCTTTCCTTGAGAGTCTCTGAGTTAGCCTCTGGTATGGCATTGGATTCTGAAGCCTCTGGCTGTAAACCGTCTCCATCAAGGACAATGTGTTCAGGATTTGGTGGAGGGGGACAGAAATCTTCATTGGGGCAGATTTCCTGGAAAAGTGTTTCAGCCTGGCCAAAGAAGAAAAGATAAAATCATTTTTGGAAATCAGTTTAAAATGTGTGTGCATTTCTGGCACTAACTAAAAAATTAAGTGTTATCCTTTAAAATTCCCTTAAGCAAGTTTTAGTACTTTATCAGTATACGTAAACTTCTGTAAGTTTGTTTTCAGAATTCTATGACTTCTCCCTTAATTCTATACATGTATTCAGGTCCACTCTTCAAGGATGGCAGTACCCCATCAGGTTCATTAACAAGTGTTCAGACTGCTGAGAACTGAAACACATTCATTCTATGTATCAATAGAAATACAATTTCCTTAATATTATTTTGTATGATTTCTTATAGAGCCTTGATATGGTTTGGTTCTGAGTCTCCATCCAAATCCCATCTCAAATTGTTATCCCCATGTGTTAGGGGGTGATTGGATTAAGGGGCAGCTGCTCCCATGCTGTTCTGGTGACAGTGAGTTCTCACGAGATCTGATGGTTTAAAGTATTTAGCAGTTCCCCCTTTTCTCTCTCTCCTGCCCCGATGTAAGACATGCCTTGCTTCCCCTTCACCTTCCACCATGATTGTAACTTTCCTGAGGCTTCCCCAGTCATGTGGAATTGTGAGTCAATTCAAAATTTTTTTGTTTATAAATTACCTAGTCTCAGATAGTATCTTTATGCAGTGTAAGAGGCACTAATAGAATTGGTACAAGGAATGGGGTACTGCTATAAAGATAACCTGAAAATGTAGAAGTGACTTTGGAATTGGGTAACAGTCAGAGGTAAGAATAGTTTGAAGGGCTCAGAAGAAGACATAAATGTGGGAAATTTTAGAACTTTCTAGAGATTTGCTGAATGGTTTTGACCACAGTGCCAATAGTGATATAGACAATGATATCCAGGCTGAGGTGGATTCAGATGGAGATGAGTAACTTACTGGGAACTGGAGCAAAGGTGACTCTTGCTATGCTTTAGCAAAAAGACTAGTGGCATTTTGTCCCTGACCTAGAGATCTGTGGAACTTTGAACTTGAGAGAGGTAATTTAGGGTATGCAGCAGAAGGAATTTCTTTTTTTTTTTTTTTGAGACGGAGTTTCGCTCTTGTTACCCAGGCTGGAGTGCAATGGCACGATCTCGGCTCACCGCAACCTCCGCCTCCTGGGTTCAGGCAATTCTCCTGCCTCAGCCTCCTGAGTAGCTTGGATTACAGGCATGTGCCACCATGCCCAGCTACTTTTTTGTATTTTTAGTAGAGACGGGGTTTCACCATGTTGACCAGAATGGTCTCGATATCTTGACCTTGTGATCCACCCGCCTCAGCCTCCCAAAGTGCTGGGATTACAGGCTTGAGCCACCACGCCCGGCCGGCAGAAGAAATTTCTAAGCAGCAAAGCATTCAAGAGGTGACCTGGCTGATTCTGAAAGCACTCAGTCATGTGTGTTCACAAAGAGATAGTTTGATATAGGAACTTATGTTTAAAAGAGAAGCAGAGCATAAAGGTTTGGAAAATTTGCATCCTGACCATGTGGGAGAAAAGAAAAACCCATTTTCTGGGGAGGAATTCAAGCTAGCTACAGAAATTTGCATAAGAAATGATGAGCCAAATGTCAATAGCCAAGACAATGTGGAAAAGGTCTCCAGGGCATATCAGAGATCTTCCGTAGAGGGGAAAAATGCTTTTTTAGGTTGGGTGGGCCCAACTGCTCTGTGTAGCCCTAGAATATGGTGTCTTACATCCCAGCTGCTCCAGCTCCAGCCACGGCTAAAAGGAATAAAGGTACACCTTGTACTGTTGCTTCAGAGGGTGCAAGGCCCAAGTCTTGCCAGCTTCCAGGTGATGTTGGGCCTGAGAGTTCACAAAAGACAAGAATTGTCTTTGTGGTTTAGGAGTCTCTGTGTGGATTTCAGAGGATGTTTGCAAATGCCTAGATGACCCAGGAAGAAGTCTGCTGCAGGGGTACAGCCCTCATGGAGAACCTCTGTTAGGACAGTGCTGAAGGGAAATGTGGGCTTGGAGTCCCCATAAAGAGTAACCAATAGGGAACTGTTTAGTGGAGCTAAGAGAGCGCCACAGTCCTCTAGACCCTAGAATAGTAGATCCACCGACAGCTTGCACCACGCACCTGGAAAAGTCACAGGCACTCAATGCCAGCCTGAGAAAGCAGGCACAATGCCTATGCCCTGCAGAGCCACAGGGTTGGAACTGCCCAAGGGCATGGAACCCTAGCCCTTGTATCAGCATGGCCTGGATGTGACGACATGGAGTCAAAGGAGATTTTGGAGCTTTAAGATTCAATGACTGCCCAGCCAGATTTGGGACTTGCATGGGGCCTATGGCCACTTTGTTTTGTCCAATTTCTCCCATTGGGAATGGAAACATGTACCCAATGCCTATATCCCAGTGTATCTTGGAATTAACTTGCTTTTGATTTTACAGGTTCATAGGCAGAAGGGACTTGCCTTGTCTCAGATGAGGCTTTGGATGTGGACTTTTCAGTTAATGCTGGAATGAGTTAAGACTTTGGTGGGCTTTTGGGAAGGCTTGACTGCTTTTGAAATGTGAAAAGGACATGAGATTTGGGAATGGCCAGGGTCAGAATGATATGGTTTAGCTGTGTCCCCACCCAAATCTCATGTGAAACTGAAATTCACAAGTACTGGGGAGGGACATAGTGGGAGGTGATTGGATTATGGAGGCAGTTTTCCCCATGCTGTTCTTGTGATAGTGACTTCACAAAAGTTCTGATGGTTTAAAAGTGTTTGGCCATTCCCTCTTCACTTTCTCTCTCCTGCTGCCATTTAAGACATGTCTTCCTTTCCCTTTGCCTTCCACTGTAATTTTACATTTCCTGAGGCCTCCCCAGCCATGAGGAACTGTCAGTCAATTAAACCTCTTTAGCAGCTATGTGATTTGGGGAATGTTTACTCAATTTCTGAGCTTTGGCTTCCTTATCTATAAAACGTCAGAGAGTAAGCCAGCATATATGGTAGCTATTTTCATTATTACTAATAATAACATAAGTAAAAATGTCAAGATTTAAGCTGAACTTATTAGTATGATAGTGAGGTAATGTATTCTCTCCCCAGGTCCACAAGGGGGCATAGTTTCAAGGGCAAGAACTTCTCAGTGCCAGGCGTCCCCCACCTCTTCATCAGGGAATTAGAGGTCTTTAAGTTTTCCCGCACATGGGAAAGAATCAAAGATCAATCACTTAAGTGGAAGTTTAAAGGAACTCCTTTCATTGGTCAAAGGGCTTGGATAGGGTGGGAATTCCTCCCAGGTTAAAAGTCCCTGTCCCGATATCTGGCCAGACTCCATGTCTGGATCCCCTTCCACAACCTTCGTGAAAGCTTTCCTCTCGTATCTTTTTCTCTCTCTGCCTAAATACATCACTTTTTGCAACAACTCTTTGGGATCAGATATTTACTTGTGAGCGCACTACGCCCGGAACGGTCCCCTCTCCCATTCTTGGTTGAGTGAGAGACCAACAGCCTGGAAGAACAGCCTATCAGGAAGCAAGCTAAGCCTCCCCTGGGTCCTGGAACCTGGCAACAATAGGGTAACAGAATAAAAAACTTCAAGGGTATGTTTTTGGACATGCCAATTACTACAATTTTTTTAAGTGTTTAAATACTTAATTGGCAAAAACTGTATATATTCAAGGTGTCCAAGGTCATTTGATACACTTATACAGGGTGTAATGATTACCACAATTAAGTTAAGATGTCCATCACCACCAATAGTTACCACTGTGTGTGTGTCTGTGTGTGTGTGTGTGTGTGTGTGTGTGTGTGTGTGTGTGTATTTGTTGTAAGAATACTTAAAATCTGCCCTCCTGTCAAATTTGAATGTAAGAATCCCATCATTTATGACAAGATGAATGAACCTGGGGGACATTATGCTAAGTGAAATAAGCCAAAACACAGAAAGACAATTACCACATGATCTCACTTATATGTGGAATCTAAAAAAGTTGAGTGTGGTTGCCAGGGGTTGGGGAGTGACGAGTTGTTGGTTTAAGTGTACAAACTTTCAGTTATAAGTTCTGGGGATCTAATGTACAGCATGGTGACTACAGTAAATACTGTAACACTGCATTTTTTTTTATTGTAGCTATTTGGAAATTAAACATTACAGATCCCTGTCTGTGCTCTCCATCCTGGGAACTCACCATACTCCTTTGCTAGAGACACACAGAACCTACAGAGGTAGGACCTAGGTTAAACAAAGCCATTACCTCATATGTCATTCCCCTAATGGTCTTTTTGTCTTATATCTCTATCTTTACTGTCTGTACAAGTTCTCCCTCCCTTTTCCCCTCTGCATGCAAACCATCATCAAATTCTATCAATTTTATCTTCTATCTCTTAACTTCATCTGCTCCTTCCCCATTGACATAGCCCAGGCATGCACCATCTTTCACCCAGATGACTGCAATAGACTTAGTATTGGACTGGGCTCCTTGCCTCTAGAGTTCCCCCATATAATCCATCTCCATGCTACCCTCAGATGGGTCTGTGGAAAATAAAATTCTGTTTATTCCATTTTGGTTTAAAATTCTTCAATGACTCCCCATCACCAGTAAGGTAACATCCAAGATCCCTACTACAGAAAATAAAAGCCATCTGACACACACCTTCTCTGATCTTATCATATACCACTTCATCTAACCTTCACCTCTCAAACTTCTTACTTTACTAATCCCTTTATTTGTATGAAACGAGACACCATGATACTTATGTTTACATCCTGGGCTGGTACCAGTGTTATTCTTTACACCCACAAAGTTTCAATTCTACTATCTTTGATTTAGATGAAGAATTGCTACTCATCTATTACACCCCTCTCTGAAAGGTTCTCTGACTTCTAGATTGGGCTCATTGCTCCTCTGCATTACTTCTAGACTTTGGATATATTAGTACATATACCACACTACACTATCATTTGTTTACATGCCTTTCTCCTTTACCTAACAGTGATTCCTCCAGGATGAGAAATATTTTTAGTCAACTGTGGATCCTTATTGCCTTGGCATAAAATGGAATGTCAGTAGTATGTAATACAAATATTAAGTATAAATATAATTATATTACTACTAATACTTTTACTTCTATGCCAGTTCCTCTGTGTTTGACACCTTGTCTCCCTGTGCCTCCTCTCCATAGAATAGATTTTACCCTGAACTCCAGTCTCTGTGGCTGGAACCCACACCATATGCTTCCATCTATCCTGTCATGCACTACCTGACTCCTAAGATTAGCACCAATTGCAGCTTGTCACACTACTCTTCCTTGTGTTCTACCTGCTTATGAAACTCCCACCTTTAGCCCATCTGCCCTGGCCCTTGTTGATGCCAATTTCCTATAGTTGGAGTCCACCCCAAATCTCTCCTCTAACTGCTGGAACTTCTTAGGATCAACTTTCCTGCTCTGGAAAGTGCATCTAATGCTTCTTGGACTGCTGCATTTTGTTTTCCAACTAAACCTAGTTCTAAGCGCAGAATAGTTCATTGGCAACTTTTCCTCCTCTTTACTGTTTCTGAGCCAGAAGTTAGCTCAAAGCATAAAGTGTTTCAGGTGGTTAAAAAATTGGAAAGGGCTAATTATATTGTGACTTGGTGTGCTCATACTGAGAAGTACAGAGAGAACAAAGTGAATTATTTAAAATATTTCTATGTTAAATTAACATATATTTACACAAAACAAAAATAAACATTTCGTCAATATAGTACTTTAACGTTTTTAGGATATACGCCTACTTATAACTGAATGTAGCACATAACAATCACTGGGTGAGTGTACCAGCGCTGTGATCCAAAAGAGCTGAGTTTAATTCTTGGCTCAAGAACTTACTAGCTATGTGACCTTTGGACAAGTTATTTAGCCCCTTTAGGACTTAGCTTCCTTATCTATAAACGGGCATATCATAAATACTTATCTCGTAGGATTGTTTTCAGGATCACGTAAGATAATATGTATGAGATGCCAAGGATAGTATCTGACTCATAGAAAGTGCTCAAATGAATGACAGCTACAGAAAATATGACATCTAAAATTGCCCTCTCAAAGGCTTAGAAAACAAACAGCACTACAGTATGTGAGCAACTAGATTGTTCAATCTATAAAGCTAGCTCTCAACTTAATAATGGGCTGTGTATTAAATGTCATAAGTGACTGGCTAATTTGTCCATAAAATAATGTTCTAAATGGTGGTTAGGTTGCTAGCCCAGCTGAACATCGGCCAATTTAACCTATTTTATACCTGAAGCAAAATACAAAGAGTATGGTGCTATTTATTCCTGTTCCCATAGTAGTGACATCTCCTAGAGGGTGGGGCTCCTGAAGGAGTGAGCTATCAATGTCTTGGGAATGAGGACTATGGACCTGTCCATGAGTATATTTGGGTACCTAGAATACGACATCTACCAAGGAAAGAGATGACAGATGTCAGTTTCAGAAAAATAAAAACAAAACTGAAGCAACATAAAATACAAAAATGAGCAAGTCATAGAAAGAATCACAATTATCACTTAGGTTCGTATCATGGTGACATTAGAGAATGTCTTGGAGGCCAGGAGTGCACAATTTGAACTTGTGGGTATTAAAGACAGATCATGCTTTTGGTGCCTCTTCAAATCATAAAGAGTTCCCTATGAACACAAATCATAAACAGTTTCCTATGAACACAGGTTTACATTACTCAATCTCTATACATTTGACATGCCTCTTCATGCTTTTGGTGCCTCTTCAAATCATAAAGAGTTGCCTATGAACACAAATCATAAATAGTTTCCTACGAACACAGGTTTACATTACTCAATCTCTATACATTTGACAAATAAGATGTAAACTTGCCAACTGGTAAAATGAAGTATTTCGTTTTGTTGTTGTTGTTGTTTTTTAATGAATCTACACGGGCTTGTATTTTCTACATAAACAAAGTCTAGGTGATATTCTGAGAGCTTTTATGGGTAATATTCTTCATTTGGAAAACATCGATCACTGGAAATCACCAATTAGTGACTGACATAATTACAGGGTGATCAGGAATTAGCATGTAGTTTATCCGAATACACTAGCTACTTACAAATATTGTCAATGCTCTTTAAAGTAGGCATTATATTTTCCCCAAACAGATATATGAGATTAAAAGCTATATAACAAATTTAAAACTACTTAACGTTTAATAACATATTAGTTCCAAAATTAGCACTATACTCTTTTCTACTATTAATAGCATGTTACCTCTGAAGGTTACCTTCTTGAGAAGCAAATTACCTCATGATAAAATTATCCTTCAATTATAATCTTCTAGCATGCAGTTTAGATGTTTAGATTACATTAGTACTTGTATTATAAGCCCTTACTTAAATTTTTTTGGTTAAAAAAAATTAAAATTCATTTAGGGATTAAAAAATGACCTAAGCTACCTTGCTAAAAACTTGTTGGCAATTTCTGCTTGCAAATCATTAGAACATCAAAGTAAAAAATGACTTGAATATTTCAAGCTATAAATGCAGAATTTCAACTATCTTGGGTTCTTCGTAAACTAACAGAATGAATGATGGATCAGAGATGTGACGTCCTGCTTTGGTTTGGTGTCAATAGCTGAATATGATTATCCAGGATCACTATCAGGCACTGAAGAAAACACACAGGAACTCTAGAAAATAACTGCAGATGTCTGCATCCTCATTATTGTCATAGCCTTGCTACTATGACTCAAAATTAGATTACGAGACATTTGTTCCTATAAGATCCTTGCCATTGGTGGGAATGAAAGTGCCATCTGTGGTCTAAGGACAATGTTAAATAACCCATTTATTGACTTAATTGACAGATGTGCCAATTCTAAAGTTTAGAAATGTGTCTCAAAAAATATTTTTTTTTTTTTTTCCATCCTGTCTAGGGCAGAGAACTATATCTGTATATACATATCAATCTTCAGCTTAATGGAATCAGGCCTCACTTTGAGGAGCTTGTATCAGCCTGTGCCTCTTCTTAGCCCTGCTTAGGATGGCTATCACAGACTTCCACCTTGCTTTATAATAGTCCTCAGCAGCAGTAATGGTAGCTCTTGGGACACGAACTTGTGTCAAAACATTAATGGAATCATGTTAACTATACAAAACTACACTATTACTTCTTTTCTATGAATTAAAACAATGCATTAAGACTACTGTAAAATTAATTCTATATGCCTTATTAGTTACAACCTTCTTGAAATGAGTCAGTTTACCAAGAAAAATAATTTAGGTATTTCAAAATAATATACCAATAGTCCAACTGTTTAAATTAGAAACAATGTTTCTTTAGAATATTGGCATTATAAATTCTTACTTATGAATATGTATTTTTAACATCTTCCATCCTTATTCCCACAATGGAAATCATAAAAAATCTCTGTAATTCAATATTTTATTCAATAAATTGAAAATACCTGACCTTGAATTTAAAGTATATTTAAAGAAGCTTTGTAGGTCATAGAAAAAACTTTTGGGCGAATTAGAAATGTGGTATTAATGAGAGAGATGCTTTTCTAGACTTTTCTCTCCTCCCAGAAGAAAAAACCGTTTCCCAACCATACCAAAATGTTAATACAAAGCTGAGAAACATCAATAGCCTTACCTGTTTAACTGCATTATCATTTCCTAAACCACAATCTGGGCCAGAGCAGACATAAACGTTGGGTGGTAAATCATTATAACAGCTCCTGCTGATGTCCGACGAATCTCTCATATTGAAGTAAAGAGCCCACAGAATTCTTGGCTTTTCAACTTGTTCATTTTCTAAATGTAGAAATAAATTCTATTTACATTCTACAATACGATATACTTGTCAATTACTACACTATGTAGCCTATTAATGATTAAGCCATGACTAGACATTGTAGTAAATCAGAGCTTTGTATGTAAACAATTAGTAAATTTGCATCTGCACACTCTATTTTGATTAGTAAGTTAATTAAATTTTACTCCATTCATGCTCCTTTGGACTTCTATTACTTCTTCTCACTAGTATCAAAGTGGTTATGATCACATTCATCCTTAAACTTTCCCTATAAAGAGAGAAGACAACATAAATTGATTTTCTTATGCTTCAAATGGACAAGCCAACTTGATAAATTATATAGTAAGTCAATAGTATATACAGATGAAATGTCCAGGATAAGCAGGAAGTTGGTTAGACAGTTACCTAGGGCTGAAGAGAATTGGGGGCAAATGGAGGGTGATCACTAATGGGTATGACATTTCTTTCGAGGGTAATGGAAATGTTCTAAAACTGATGGTGGTAATATTTGGACAATTCTATACATATACTAAGAAACACTGAATTTTATACTTCAAATGGGTGAATCATATGGTATAGAATGGTATCTCATTAAAGTTATTATTTAAAAAATAGTAAAAACAGGATTAAAACTTTGTTGTCCTAACTCACATTCTAATGCTTTTTCTTATCGGATTAAAAAAATTAATGGTAACCAACAAATATCAAAAACGAAGTCATAACAGTAAATGTCATTTTGAGCACATTTTCTCTCATTTAAGAGCATGTGTCTATTATGCATGTTAGGCATTGCGCTACGAGCTGAGTATATGCAGATGAAGTAGACTCAGTTCTTACTCTCCCTCCATTTTTTGTTCCCTAATTCAGGGCCTAGCACACAACAGATGCTCAATAAATAACTTCTGAATTGATGTTATCCATACTTTTAGGTATGACCAAATACGATGTACTTATAAAAAGGCCCAACACTATTAATCTCAATGCATAAAGCCTATTTCTTGCTAACTTGATAATCATTTATTTGCCCCTCCTCTTTAAAATTCTTATCATTTTCTTTGTTTGAAAACATAAAATATTGCTGTTAATACATTCATTGACTAAAGAGTTTTCTTTAGACTGAATCTGAACATAACTTCAAATTTTGTACAATAATGGGTGGTTATGAAGACTGCCCAAGACCATGAGGCACCTCATGAATCATAAAGAAAATCCTAAAGGCATAATTATCTCATTAATTACTATTATTTAATTGGTAACCAACGTAGAGAAATTTTTACCTAAATGCAGTATTCAATTAACAAGAAAGCCCTATTACCCACATCAGGATAAACAAAATTTTATTACATTTAATTTACAGTATCTGCACTGTAAGAACACCAAATAAGTTATTTTCCTAGTTCATCCTGAATAATCCGTAATTATTAGTGCAATAGGATGAAGAAACTCTGAGTGGAAGAAATGATCGCCTAAGACGGTCCTTTCTAAAAGTGCTAAGACCTACGAGTCATCTAAGATATCACTAACTTTATATAGGAACATATTAGGTGGCTAAATCTATTTACTGACAAAATAAAGGAACATAAGAAATTAACATTTCGTAGCTAACACCAAATGGCTCTTAGAAAATTGATTAGTAAGTTTAATTACATGAATCTTATGGGAAGACACTTAAATGAATCGCCTATGGTTTGGGACACCAGACTTGGGGAGCACTGCTAACAAGCAGGCTAAGGTCTGGAAAGTCTTTAATATTGCCCAGCCCATTTCTAAGCATATACTAGGAGAGCTTATCTTGCATTTCATTAATGATCCAGCTCAAAAGAATGCTCCACTTAATAAAAGTTGGAGGAAGTTAATAATCTAATAGATTAATTCAACTTAATTTCATAGAGGTTGAGCCTAAGGTGAAAAACTGACATAGGCTGAAGATAAGTGCTCTGGATTCAAGGGCATTATCAGGTTTTGACCTTAAAACCTTCAAGAGATATATAATTGCTTCATCTTTCTTTGAGGTCAACTGGAAGGCAAAGAGATAGCTGGAAAAATAGCATGCAGTTGTGAAGCGCAAAACTGTCAAAAAATATTAAAGTTGCTGAGCTTCGGCTAAGAGTGCATCACAAGTTGCCAGGGGTAAAACTGGTTTCCTGCAGTAGCTCATTTCATTCAATTTGATAGTAAGAAGGACTAAAGATGTAATAGGTAATTTAGAATAAAATCTTGGGCAAATTAAACTGGAGTAAGTATAGAATACGGTAGGCAGAAGGAAAACAACTATAGCACAACAAATAAAAAAGCAAGAAATGGTGTCACAGTTGCATACCATGTTTAGGGATAGAGTAAACTATGCCAGTCATACTGGCAGAGTGGTGGAGACCGCCATAGCCCTGACTGAGTCTGGACACAGCACACAGAAAGGAATTAAGATATTTGCCTTCACAGCCCAACAATTACTTAACACACTAGCTATGGACTTAAAACTACACCTATAAGGGAAATTGCTGTTTTTAGGCAGTGGTGTTCTTTGAGACAGAAAATGAGTGAGATGCTTCACTGACAATATGATTATTTTTATACCTAGAAAATCCTAAAGACTCCACCAAAAGGCTCCTTGAATTGATAAACGACTTCAGTAAAGTTTTAAGATATTAAAATCAGTAGGATTTCTATACACTAATAATAATCAAGCAGAGCTAAATGAAGAATGCAATCCCATTTACAATTGCCACAACAAATATTTACAAGTCATGTATCTGATAAGGGATTAATATCCGGAATATGTAAAGAACTCCTAAAACTCAACAAAAACAAAAAATCCAATTAAAAAACTGTGCAAAGGACATGAATAGATATTTCTCCAGAGAAGACAGACAGATGGCCAATAAGCTCTTGAAAAGATGTTGAGTATCACTAATCATTGGGAAAAAGCAAAGCAAGACTACAATAAGATACCACTTCACACGTACTAGGATGGCTATTACACAGATTTTTTTAAAAAGGTGACTAGGCTGGCTTTCACAGGTTTATGAAGCACATAGAATGTAGAATTCAAATATAAAGAAAAAGAAAATAAGGCCAAATAATGTTATTTCTTTGGTACATGTTTTAAACTAAAATACTTACAATGCTCTAAAGCATGAGGTATTATATGAACATCAAATAATCAAAACATAATAATACAGGCCATCAGTCTGTGAAAATAGGGGTTTCTGCTTCAGAGAAGAATGTGCTTTAATGTATTAAAAGTTCATATTGCTCATAAAGTTCCTTCTTCCTCATGTAGGCAGGAAAATGAATTGAGTTCTCTTCTCCAGGTGACTTTGCCTCTTTGACCTGCCATGGCCCAGTGCTCACTTTATCTGGTGATTCATTTTCAATAACTCCAACAGTATTTGTTCTGACATTTTAATTAAAATATGACCACTACCTCATCCTGATGACAAAAAGGCCTATGTGTCAGTGAAAACTAGCTTTTCAGTGCCTCAGTGCACCTGAGGACCCCTCTGAGCACATAGTTCTTACCAAAGAATTCCTCTCAGGTTCTAAACAATACATCATTTCAATATGGAATCACTTTAAGATTAATGTTTAAAAATCTAAAATGGCTAGAAGATGCTAAGTAATGAACATGTAATTTCCCCCAGCTTGATTTTTTTAAAAAGAAAATTAAATGGATTTAAAAAGTGAAGAGTAATGATATGATTCATATTTAGTGCATTATTTGAGACTACTACACAATGAAATTACAACATAAGAATTATTTAAAATTTCAGAAATAATTAAGAAATTCAGGTTTTCTACACAAAGTATAGCTGCAATTAACACCAAAGAAAAAACTATGACTCCATATTAGTTTTAGAAAGATTACCATGTATTTTACCTTGGCAATCAAATATTTAATAATCCAGACATTTACATGATACTTTCAATAAAGAAAATACATATAAGCAATTTATAAATTAATAAATTATGACTAAAATAATTTAATTTATAAATTAACTCCCAAACTAAAGGGAAGTTTTCAGATTCGAAGACTTTATTTGGGTAGATGACAGAAAAAATAATAATTGATATTAGCTCCTGAAAACAGAGCAGGTTCATTATGTTAAGTGAAATAAGCCAGGCACAGAAAGACGAACTTAGTATTTTCTCACTTATTTGTGGAAGCTAAAATTAAAACAATTTCATTCATGGACATAGAGTGTACAATGATGGTTGTCAGAGGCTGGGATGGGTAATGGGGAAGGAAGAGGAAAAAGTAGCGATGGTAAAAGGGTGCAAAACATAAATAGAATGAATAAGCTCTAGCATTTGATAGTACAACAGGGTAAGTACAGTCAGCCAGCAATAATTTACAGTGAGCTTTGAAATAACTAAAAGAGTATAACTGGAATGTCTGTAACACTGAGAAATGATAAATGCTTGAAGTGATGAGTATCCCATTTACCATGATGTGATTACTATACAATGTATGATTGTATCAATACACGTCATGTACCCAATAAATATATACACCTATTATGTACTCATAAAATTTTAAAAAAATTAAAGAACAGTTTGTCTTCATATGTAAATAAGCACCCCTCCTGTGCATTAGAAAATAAACAACACTCATAGGGAATGAGCTAAAAGGAAACAGAGTAAGAGTAAGTATGAGTAAATAAATGGTTGTATGAACAAAGTGACATGCAAAGAAAACAAAGACATAAATCAATGGAAGAAGGTGACCAAGATTCAAGTGCACATGTAAATCCTATAATAAAAATCACCTTCACTTCATATAATGAAGATCCAACAGGCTTCTTTTATCATTTACACAGAAAATATGCCCTACTTTCTCCATTCACAGCTACAAGTGCTACCTTATTATATAGGGAGAAAAGCTTTAAAATGTGTTTCCCCCATGAATAAGTAGCACATACACTTTTGGGAGCTAAGTATTTATTAAATCACTAGCACATTGTGTATTAAAAGACTATTAGAGGACAAGTGTGGTGGTTCACTGTGCCTGTAATTCTAGCAATTTGGGAGGCTGAGGCAGATGGATCACCTGAGGTCGGCAGTTCCAGACCACCCTGGCCAACACGGTGAAATGTTCTCTCTACTACAAATACAAAGATCAGCCAGGTGTGGTGGTGCACACCTGTAGTCCTAGCTACTTGGAGGCTGAGGCAGGAGAATCACTTGAACCTGGGAGGTGGAGGCTGCAGTGAGCTAAGATCGCAGCACTGTACTCCAACCAGGGCAACAGAGTGAGACTTTTTGTCTCAAAAAAAAAAAAAACACAAAGACTATTAGATGAGAAAGGATTTCAACATTGCCAATTAATATTTTAATCCGTTAGTTGAATCTTTTTTCCTTAAAGGAAGATACATTTTGCTGATAAAGGAATATGTGCTTTTTGTACAACCCTTGTAAAATAAAGAAAATTATAAGAAAAATTACCCATAATTCCACCAAAATTGATTTTCTAACAATCTTTCTGTGTAATTATGCATGTAAATGCATATTTTCTGTGCTTATTTATATGTTTTGTGTGTGTATGATGTATATATTTCCTTTAACATTGTAGAGTGAACATTTTCCCACATATTTAGGCAGACACTGTGCTCAACCACCTTACTAAAACATGTGAATTGTTGTTGAATACATCATATTTCAGTTCAGGTTGCAGAAACTTTCAGGATATGTCTAAGAAGATTATGATGGTTACATTACCTTTCCATCATGAGTCATCAATTATTTTTCTTACCTATCTCCACTTCAGTATATGGAATAAACAATTTCTGCACAACTGGTTCTAAATCTTCTCTTGCTGTTTTAGAAGACGTACACGTCAAATGAACTAAATCTGTTAAAAAAAAAAAGTTTGAGTTCCTTCTCATCATAAATCTATTTTACTCAAACTTAAGGCATTAAGCTGGTACTATGAATAGAGAGCTGAGCAAGTCAAGGCTCCTGCCTTCAAGGAGTTTATAATCTAGTGATATGGGGATATGTAAAAACTCTAACATTGTATTACATTATGTTAATTAAACAGCTACAATATATGTCATCTAACAGCTACATAAGTACCCAACAAGTATCCAAGAAGTACTGGTTCATGTTAATTTGATAAAACAGAGTACAAAATCTTAGAAAACCATTTGTTCACGGTAAAGAGCTTGTTATATTTTTGTAAAGAATAGGTTTAAAAAAAAGGCTGAAAGTGAGGTATGTATTTACCTAAGAGAACACACTTAAATATACTGCAGACAGAAAAATCCATGTATACATGTTTTGCTAATAAGTTAACAACAAATCATCTACTAATCACAGGGTTCTCTAGAAACCTTTTGGGAGAACACTGCTGACTTAATTACAATCACACATATACTTGAAAGCCCATAAAACAGCTTAGGTTAAAACAGACTATAATATTTTCAGGAATTTCAAATTATTTTCCTTTTCCATTTACAGAGTTATGGGGCCTGAACCTTGGAGAATGGTTATGTTAGAGAACATCATGCACCAAAAAGGCTCTTCATGGAACTAAAATATTGTAGCCTAACTCTGTTAGAACCCCTAAAGGCCTATGCACAAAGGTGAAGAAAGAATCAAAAGTTCTGTGTATTGCAATAAAGGAGTAAGGGGATCTCCAAATGAAAGAAGTTCTTATGGTCCTGTTATTTGGGATGAGATACAGTAAAGGCAGAAAGAATACACCCACTTATTTTTCAAGAGTTTATTTCAGACTACTAGAATTTTTTGAACTGTCCAGGAAGACAGTTCCAATTTTATCATAGAAGCAAACATCAGAATAAGATTCTCATTATCAAAATTCCTTCCATATTCAACTACTCTAAACTAGATCTTAGTATAAATTGAGGAACTCTAATATTGATGGAGCTAAAATCAAATTTTGTGGCTTTTTCCCCTCATAGGTCCAACAAAGGAAGTGATATTCTGGGATGGTTCCTGAATTATTTATGGCCTAATAATAGGTCTACCTTATTTAAGCATTGTTTTCACCTGAATTTAACAATGATTCTCATTGGTTCCGGGATGTTGTAGGATGTATTGTACTAGTTATTTCCAAAGATATGATGAACTTCAAAACAAAAATTATTTTGGTTAACTTTTTTCAAATGCTGTACAGCATGAGTGGGGATGGACTTAATCCTCCTAGATAATCATGAATTAAACAGGGTATGCAACTACAAAGGTCAGCAATCCACAGGAGAGAAACTGTCCTGTCTCTTATTTCAAAACCTTGTGAAATACCAATGCTTATGACGAAGTTCTCAATTTTCCAGTTCTTTTTTGTTAATGTTTATTAAGGAAAAAGCAGATGAACCTGGATATAAATAAGTATATTTTGAAAAATAAAAAAATCTTAATGGCTGAACTATTGTTTCTGTTAAACAGGACATATATTTTAAAGAAATACACTTAAGTTAGTATATCATTATATTTCTTAACAACATAACAGAGAGTTCAGGTTATGCTAGGAAAAAATATTTAGCAGTGATTATCATCGTATGATTAATGAGTTTTATAACAATTCTTACAAAGACATAAATAAGCTGAATTCTAATTCCCATACCTTGACTTTGCTTAGAAGCTACATCGTTAATTGATCTTTTAACACAAATTTAAGGTATGAATAACTATTTTTTCCCCTTACCCTTCCTGTTTTTCCTGTTACCTACGTCAGCTCCTAGTACAAATTATTCTAAATTCATTTCGGTTCTCTTCAAATCAGAAATTGCTGATTGTGCTATTTTTAAAATTTAATGATTCTCAAAATTTGTTTATTAATCTTACTATCTCTTGTAATTCCTTAGAAGGGGAAAGCTTTAGAGTCTATTTTTCTCCTTTTTGTTAAATACAACTTTTACTTAGAGTGGGTATTCAATAAATGTTTGTTGTTAATTATAATTTGTTTCCTTGTCACAGACAAATATTAAGTATTCCTGTGCTTAAACAGATAGGCATTCTCATACCAATAGATCTATGTGTACATATTCATGGGGAAAACCTGATTAGTTTCTTGTATAAAATGTAGGAAATTATCTGATTTACCTGGCAAGAGGAAAGGGGAGTACCAATTGATAATTTCAAATTATTTAAATCTGTCTGAGAAATGCATATAAACACATTAAGATATATGTATAAAATTCTCAAAATACATTTAAAAGAATATCTAGAGTTGACTGTACAATTAACGTGCCTGTATTAGACACTATTTCCATCATGTTACAAGTATTATTTCATTTCACCTTTGCAACAGCAAACTGTTATTCTAATTTTACAGATGAGAAAACAGAGGGATGGGGGGCGGTGGTTACGCAGATTTCCTAAAGTCATGCAATTAATAAAAGGAAGAGCTGGGACTCAGAGCTGGAACTGAAGCCCTTGTGGTCTGCCTGCAGAGTGTCTGCCCTTAGTCACTAAATTATATTATGTAATTATAATAATCTCCTGCAGAAGGCACAGTTAGTCACTTAAGTCAGCAGCATTCAAACTGGGATGTATGCGAGCATAGAAGAGGACTTTTCATAAGTTATATCACATCCAAGGGGGTTCTCATCCAGATACTCAGCCCCATCTCTCCCACTTCATTCAGTGATACATTTCAACAAATTGCACTTTTTCTGTTTAGCATTTACCAAAACTGTAATATATTTATGACAGGTGGATTAATTCTGTACAAATAATACTTGCATTAATTACTCAATCCAGAAGCAATTTTTAGATAATTAGAAGCTTACCGCCCTAGATGATTCCAAAAATATTCTATTTCCATTTATTTTATTAAATGGGTGATGGGTATCAAACATTCCTGGTACTTAAGATTCCACTGAATACATTTAAATATTACAGTTTTACTATAAGTCAATATTTATGATGTTAGAAATTACATTCTTTGCAATTATTTGACCCTTCTGATGAAAAACTGTATATGTCAATTTGAAAGCGTTCAAGGGGTAAATGAGCAAAAAGTCTGAAGACCTTAAGTGTATAAGGTAAACTCAAAACTGAATATGTAGAACATGTTAACACATTTCTACTAAAATTCAATTATGTAAAATACTTTTTGCATCTGTGACTTTAATTCTTCTCCAAATAATTAACTTGCTCAATAAACGCCAACCATGACCAAAACTTAGATCACACAGGGCAAATGCTTTCCTAAAAGTATTACATTTCATTAGTACCAATTGAGAACTATTACTAAGATTGTGGAAGATGCAATACAAGGGGAAATATTTCCCACAGGTACCATGTGAGATCATATCTGAATGAAAAAAATTTAAATCCTAACTCTTTTTATAAACCATGCTCTTTTTACTTTATTTAGCAACTACTTAAAGGCTTAATGGGCCAAAAATGGCCAAAGGCTCAATTTAAAAAAAAAATGTATTTTCTATTACAATTCCTCTTTTGGCAATATACTTAGATTTCTATTGGCATTAAATAAATCTTAGTGCAAAATGAGTTTTAATTCATTTTGTGAATTAAAGAAGTGAGAAATAACTCAACACAAAATTAGAAATAATCATACTTTTAGTTCTCCAAAACTGCCTTTGGAATACTGATCTCTCTTATAAGTTGTTTTTAAACACATGAGAAGTAGGATTTCTACTCAGAATGTGCACAACTGCAATAATGAGCACATTTAAAAGTAACAAGTCCAACGTACAGTAACAGAGTGACATAGTATAGGATAATTACGTGGATCTGGTATTACTGCTGCTCTTTATATCTACTTGGTAAAGTCACTTTTTCTGTCTGGCTTCAGTGTCCTCATAATTAAAATGAAGGGTTACAATTAGTCCATCTATACTCCTCTTCTAGTCTCAAGTTTATTAAGGTAGTTCCTTACTCACCAGCTACAATTCTTTCAATGATGACACATTTTAAAACAAAAACAGATGACATTACACATGTGAATGTAAAACCTAAGTAAATGCTTGCTGCAAAAGACAGGAAATGTATTCCTCAAGCTTCCGAATTTACCACGTACAGCAGTCACTCACTCTATACAAGCAGGCAAAATTGTTCCAAATGCATTTAAAGAATCTTTCTTTATAGGCTAGACAGCAAGTAGGCTCTGTTGTACAACCTAACTATAAATATGTAATTTATTTATTTATTTATTTTTTTTTAATGAGACGGAGTTTCGCTCTCGTTACCCAGGCTGGAGTGCAATGGCGCGATCTCGGTTCACCGCAACCTCCGCCTCCTGGGTTCAGGCAATTCTCCTGCCTCAGCCTCCTGAGTAGCTGGGATTACAGGCACGCGCCACCATGCCCAGCTAATTTTTTGTATTTTTAGTAGAGACGGGGTTTCACCATGTTGACCAGGATGGTCTCGATCAACCTCGTGATCCACCCGCCTCGGCCTCCCAAAGTGCTGGGATTACAGGCTTGAGCCACCGCGCCCGGCTATAAATATGTAATTAATTTACATAGAGATCAATGTGGCTGGTAACGCATCTTTCATGTAACTGTAAAGGCCACATGTAATTTATGTAATATAGCACAAATGAGGATATGACTGTATCAATAAAAGAGAAAAGCTCAGAGACACACTTTATAGTAGCAAGTAAGGAACTGAGTTTGACGGTTTGATGACATACGACACACAACTTAATTGTTAAATTCACCTATGAAAGAGTCTATAGTCATCTTATACTTTCTCAGTAGAATTTAAGAAAAAAACTCCAGAACATTACCTTAAGTTCAGGAAGAAAAATTAGTTTACATATAATTACACAAATCTTTGTTTTGTGACAGTATTAATAAAAATAATTTAAAATGCCACATTTTCAAAAGCAAATTAAAAAGGCACTGATATAACTGTTTT